TTATAAATATTTTTTCTATAATTTTTGGAATCCCTAAAAGAATTTTTATAAATTTTATACTAAAAGTTTATTCTAATAATATTATTATATTATTGTTTTATAAAATAATCTAACAGCACTTATTTTATATTTTTTAAGCCATTTCCCTTTTTGTCCATCCAACTTAATAGAGAAAAATTAGGGGAAATTAAGAGGAAAAGAGAGGGAAGGAGAAAAGCGAGGGTTTGGCGGTTGTAGAGTCATTTTTGTTCGTCGATCCAGTTGAAAAGTTTGTTTGTCTCAAGATAGTTTATGTTTTATCTATTTCAGTTTTCAATAATTTGATATTTTTTATTGATCCTACCGACTCTCATAATCGTCATCGACAAGCAACATCCCGACTCTGAGTGGATCATTGACGGCCGCCCACCCGCTCCTCCAAATCCGGCTTCTTTCCCGGCGACAAGTCCTCTCAAGATCACTTGTCTATTAGTGGCGTCGCTAAGTCTACTTTCGATTCTCTTCCGCTAGCCACCACTTTCAAAACGAGTGACAGATCTCAAGGTGAACGATCTAAATTTTAAACGTATGGCTTTAGTAGTAGCTATTTGCATTATCTAGTTTATTTTGGGTTTTCTTTTGCAAGACTCTTGTAATTCTTAAATGTAATGACTGCCGTTAACATAATCTATCACGAATTTTCTTGAATCATACTTGAGTAAGCTAGATTTTATCGTTAACATTGCAAAGTTAAACTCTCTTTAATCTCTAACGTGCAATTCATGTTTCACCGCATATTGTTTCACATCAATAACTTTATTTTGGTAAAATTTTTACCGTGTAACTTTTCATATGCTATAGAGATTGATATTATGAATATTTTGAGTGTATTCTGAAAATTTTTCGCCCAGTAATTTTGAAAAAAACAACTATTTTGATCTACTCGAATTTTTTTTTAACCTCTAAATAGTGTTTCAGTTCAATTAAAACTTCAGAATTATATTTTACATAATTCATGGTAATTTGGTTATGTTTTGAAATAGTGAATTTTTGTTCAATAATGTTTTTGTTATTTGAGGCATTTTAATGATTTCTGAATTTAATCTAATTATGCTTTAATTAATGAAATGTATCAAAAAATATGAAATAAATGTGATGTGACATGATGTAATATTTTATCGACATCATGGGCGACCAAGGAGGGATTATGTTATGCCGGCGCTAGCGGGCGATCGATGTGGGATTCTATTATACTGGCGTTAGTGGATGACCGAGGTGAGATTCTATTATGCCGGTGCCAATGGGCGACCGAGGTGGTATTTTATTTTGCCGGGGCCTGTGGGCTACCGAGGTGGGATTTTGTTAATGAAGCTATAAACATATATAAAAATTTGGGCTGAGACTTATTTGGTTTCAGTTTATGCTTCTGCTTTAGTTTCAATTTCAATTTTTTTTATAGTATTTTCGCAGCATAGTATTTTCGGTTCTTTTGCTCCTCCCATAATGTTGCTCCTTCTGGCTTTCTTCCTCCCAAAATTTTCCTCCATCCTCTGAGCAAACTCCATCGTCTGTCTCAGCCCTTCAGGTCTCAGCATCCTGAGCTCTGCTCATATGTTCTCCCCAAGCCTCTTCCTTCCTCAGAAATTTCTCTCAGTCTTCCCGATAGCATTTCAAACTTCTCTAGATACTCCATGTCTGTCCCCTCTTGAGTTAGGGCATAGATTTTTCGTCGTCGTCTCCTTCCCAAATGTTTTAGAAATGTTCCAACAAACACTCCATTAGGGGTATAAAAAATTGACACCCGACCTAGAAATTTTGGGTTTGGGTTGAGCCGTTAAACAAATGGGTCAGGTTTGGGTCTAAAAATATAACCCGTTTAATAAAAGAGTTGGGTCTGGGTTAACCCGCTAAAAGAGTTGGGTTTGGGTCTCCTTCCCAAATGTTCTAGAAGAAGCGGGAATGCGACTGGCGAAATTTGAAATTAGAGCAGGAATTGTGGAATGGTCGTAATTTTGTAATCCGAAATGGGAGCAGTTGAGCGGGATGGGGACGGGTGAAATCCAGAATGGGAGCTAGAGCTGTGAGACGAGCGAGATTTCATAATCCGAAATGGAAGCAAGACGAACATAATATTGTAACTTTCATTTCATTTGGCAAACGAGCCGGCAGTCTGGCGGAGCTCACAAGATTTGGCCAAAGAAAAGTGCAGAATAGAAGAAAGATGATGTGATTTGCCCGGGTCAGCACTCGAAAGGGTCCAGGAGAAGATTTATTAGATTTGGCGAAATGGAATTAGAAAATAAATTTTAAAAAATAATCGGGTTGATGGGTCATGTCGGGTTGACCCTGAAATGAATCGGGTCTAGTTTGTGTTTGCGTCTGTGAACCATTTTTTTTAATCAGATTGGGTTAGATAATGAAGGATCATTTTCGGGTTAGACCTAAACCCGACCCAAAAATCTATTTTGACACCCCTACTCTCCTTAACAACCACCCACATGAATAGATTAGATATTGAGCCACCTCCACTGAAATCAAGCTAGGGCTTCTCCCTCCAAACACAACCCTGCTGTCATGAGCTTTTCACCTCTCGTCAGGCTATTGATCACAAAATAACGCTCCACTCGATACACCCAACCCTGAGCATCTTCCCTTCAAACACTAGCATCTTCAACTTTCTTGATCTCACATCTATAACCCAATGGCTTCTCCCTCCATTAGTTCCTCCTATGTAATGATTGCGTGAATCTCTCCCTTCCTCCCTTAATTGATTTGGATCCTAAGGCTCCGGCCCAACAATGTCCTCCATTCCACCTCTCCTAATGCCCGGATAGTCTCCCAAAGGGTTCGGTCTCCCCCTCCTTGCTATACTTCCTTCGAAATACCCCGGCCTGCCATCCAACAAAGCCCCCCTGAGCATCTTCCCCTTCAAACATTGGCATCTTCATCTTTCTTGATCTCACATCTATACCCCAATGGCTTCTCCCTCCATTAGTTCTTCCTATGTAATGATTGCACGAATCTCTCCATTCCTCAATTGATTTGGACCCCAGGGCTCCTCCCAACCATGACCTCCTCCATTCCACCTCTCCCCATACCCGGATAGTCTACCAAAGGGTTCGGCCTCCCCCTCCTTGCTATACTTCCTCTGGAATACCCCGGTCTGCCATCCAATAGAGCCCCCCCCCGGTGGCTGTCCCTGATGGAAAACACTCTCCACTTTATCATCATCCTCCAGAATCTCCTTCCCCTTTGGTACAACCATCGGAACCGCTAGCGAGGCTTTTGGCTGCATTTCGATGAGCTTCTTCATCATATTTTTCATATTTATGAAGTGGCCCTTTATGAATGAGAGCCCGCCTTCCAATGTTGGAATATCTTTCCTCCACTCCGGCCTTGAGATTTTCCATCTCACCTTCCAACGCCTCCTTCGCTACCATAGATCCCAAAAAAGCGCTTTGATACCAATTGATAGGAAGTAAAAGAACTTTCAACCAAATCAACGAACTACAAGAGAAATTGGGAAGAGCAACACACCAACAACAAACAACAACAACATCAAGCCTTTATCCCACTACGTGGGGTCGGCTACATGAATCCTTTTTCTCTATTGAAGAGCAACACACCATGAATCTTTTTTTTTTGGTAGGAAATATGAAGGAAAACAATAGGGTACAATGGATCTTCAATTGGAAAAGAAGATCCGTCTCTTCCAAATCTCTAGCTGCCGGCTAGAGCCCTCACAATCTAGAACAAACTAACATGACATAACCCCTAACACTAGTGTAAACAATCATATTTAAAGCAAACAAAACAAACAAAAATATCCAAACAGCCCTCAAATTGAATTTATCTCCTAAACAACTCCCCCCTCTCTCTTCATTAAGCAATGGGCCCCAACCCAAGGGTGGGTGGAACTCCCCTGGGTGGACTATATAGAATTTTGGCTGGTCCCTTCTGGACTAGTTGGACCGGTCCCTCCTGGACTGGCTGAACCGGTATAACATTTTCTTTTCAATTGTGACTATTTCTTTTGTTCAATTTGAGCGAAAATTGAAGGTCTTGATTGATACTTTCCTACTAATTTTAGATTATGATCATTTAATTGGTTGACATTTTTTTTGACATGAATGACATTTTCTTTTAAAATTAAAGAATGAACTTTTTCTCTCGGAAGTTGATGGTTGCCTGTGGTGGAGCAACACTAGCTTATCGTGGAGAGCAAGTGGAGGTGCTGGAGCAGCAGTAGCTTGTAGTTGAGGTGGGAGGCGGAAGACAAGTTGGGCGAGGGGAATTTTTGGGGATGCTGGGATAAAAAAAAAATTGCCAAAATATGTCCAGGATTCGTTTGCTCCTAGAGTTCTGATACCACGAAGAGATAGGAAATGATTTGAATTTTGTATGTATTTCATTGGGCAGCTTGCCACTTAATTTTATACAACAAGATTCTAGGTTACCCTTGGTAACTTCAGAATATGGAAACTAGTAATTACATTTAAATTAAGAATGATATTCTACAGCTAGCATGCATATATTTTTTGTAAATCTACGAGAAATTTTCGCCATTTAAAGGGGCTCACGGATTGTCAACTTGCAACGTTATTTGGCTACATTTTTGTATTTCCACAGGTTGCTAAACTGGCCTTTCAAACTGCCAACACCTATAAGTAATGGAGTCTTCCAATAATTTATTTTCGTTTTTCCTCATTTATAAAGCTTTCAATGTGGATTAATTGCTGATAATTGTGCATTGTAAGCAATTTATGGCAACAATTAAATCAAGATGACTCAAGACAGTATTTCTTATTTTATCCATTATGTCTTTCTACTGTTCTATCTTATTACCTACTAATTATGTATTTAAGTGTATCGCAAATAACTAGGTATCAATGTAGATCACTTCTCTTTCAAATCGCTTGACGTATTTAAGATCTTTGACTTGGCATTGGAATAAAAATTGGCACATTTCTGTTTCATCTCCTTAGAACGTTGTCTTATCATCTGACTAACTATAATTGCAGCTGTAGAAGCAAATGCTGAAGCAAATGAATATGCTATCAAGAAAGTAGCTGAAGAAACAAATGCTACTGTCAATGAAGATGCTACCAAAGCAGTTCTTGAGATTAAGCTTAAGTCTGCATCGGACCTCGAGAACCTATTTAAGGATTCATCATCAGTGGCTGAAATATCAGGCCAGCAGAAGCCCAAGGAAAATTTAAAGGATGACATTATGAGCCTCTTTGATAAGGTTATTCCATCCAAACCTCTGGTTAAGCGGTTATTTGTATCCCGGAACTTCATATAAGTTCATTGATAACATTTTCATCATTTTATACTCAGCCCTTAGTTGAAAAACATGACTTGCAGGTTTGCTATTTATGGACCGTTACACGCTAATATTATTCTGATGTTTTGGTGCAGTCCAAGATGGTTTCCCCATTTGCCATTCATCAGCAGCAGCTTGTATATCTTTCTCAGCAGCAGGCTCTTCTCATGGCTGCTGCAAATTCTGAGGGCACACCTCCAACCTGTCCCGTCTCGACTCAGCAGCCAGGCGTTGCTATTACTGGCACATCCAATTTTGCTTCCGCAGCAACAAATTGGCTTAATCCAAGTACCCAAATTTCAAGAATGACGCCTGTAGATGGACAACAGGATACTAACAAATCTGCTCAGGTGATGGATGCTTTATTAAGTTTCAATGATATATATATTTTGATCTTTAATATATGAGGATTGAATAATGATACATTGTTTTTTTCGTTGTGCATCAGCTGGATAGCATTATGCCAGTACAATCATCTGGGAACTATGGATCTTCTACATCACTGTAAACTCTTAAAACTTTTTGGCATTAGATGATCCTCCATTGGTTTCATAGCTTGATTTTGATTTTTTGTTTTTCCTCAGTTGAGATTATGATACAAGAATTTACCTAAATGGTTGTTTAGATGCTATAGTGATACGGTTCTTCCGGAATCGTCCAAACCGGCCCCACCTGGGCCGGTTCAGATTTATAGGATGCGGGCTAAGCCGCGTCCTTAAAATAGCTGCCCAAGCTGTGCCCCCCAGGGCAGTAATTAGAGAGAGGGAAGGGGGCGGCTAAACACATAGGGAAACTATTTTGAATTGATTTATTTTATGAATCTTTTTATTGATTTTTTATTAGGAAGATATGTATTTAAAGAAGAGGGGAGGCTAGGGTTACGGCATGCATGTTTATTGTTTTCTCTTGGAGTTCTCTTTGTGGTTTTGGTCTCTAGATTCATCATTTAGAGATTGGGAGAGAACGATCCTCCTATCGAATTGAGGATCACTTGTATCTTTGTTCGTTCTTGCTTTTGATTTGATTCCTATAATACAATCTACTATTTTTGGATTGTTTTATTGAAGATCTTGACGTTTTCTCGCTGTTTACAAATTAGTGTTAGGTTTGCTTGCGAACTCAAGTATTCCCCATTAGGGTTGCTTGCGAACTTAAGTATTTCCTATCATATAGATTGGCATTTGTGATTATAAGGAAAATAAACGGAGAAAAGTATTATACAAAATTTAGGTTAAACCAGTATCTTCTTCTGTTTCATTGCATTCTTGTGATCATTGAAGCTTGCATGTCTCTTTTTAACCTTTTTACTATCCTTTACTCCAGAAGATTTTGGTTTTTTTTTTCTATTCCCTTTGCATATATAATTACTTCCAATTTTCTTAAGATTCACCTTTGGCTTTTTTTTTTCTATGTATTTGTAGTTTTTCTATTTCTAAACAGCAATAAAAAATATCTTGCAGGTCTTCAGCATCCGATGCCAATTCCACCACCAACAGCCGACGAGGAACTGACTTTGATTTTTCATCACTAACGGAAGGGATGTTTTCAAAACATTAATGAGAAAAATAACTTTGTTCTGTGTGCTTCTTTCCTGCATCAGCATTTTCATACTTCTCGTTACAGGTAAATGAATCAACAACTTATTATAATTTCTCTTCATTTGTATATTCACCTTAAATTTAATAAAATGTGCTTTATTTTTCTAACATTTTTTTTTTCATTATTTCTCTTGAAGTATTTTGCATTTAGCTAGCTTTTCTCCATGTTGTGCTTATGATAATATTCTTGAAATCTATGAATTCACTGATGAGACAAAGAGCTAACCAATCTGTCCACAAGAATATAAAGGAAAAAAAAGATCAGAATGGTCCCTTCACTTATTATGAGGATCAAAATAGTCTCAATTATATTAAAAGATTATTTTGATCCATCAAGTCCTTAAAAAAGAATCAAAATAGTTTTCTGGTGGGATTATTTTGATTCTTCTTTAAAGAGTTGATGGATCAAAACGATCTTTTAATATAGTTGGGGATCATTAATCTTTCATAAAGAGTCAAGAAATCATTTTGATTTTTTTTCTTAGAATATAAATATTGGATATGTATATAAAGAATAGAAATATCTTTTTTTTTTTATAGACATTTAGGTCGTTGAAGACAAACTCATATACACGTCACATATATAAGTAGGGCTGCAAACGAACCGAGCTGAGCATGATATGTGAGTGTTCATGTTTGAGTTCATTTATTATCAGCTTGTTCAAGTTTGGTTCATATTTGATTTGAGTTTTATGGTTTGTGTTCATGTCTAGTTCATTTAATTTAATGAGTGCTCATGTTTGATTCATTTAGTGCTTATCGAGCTTTAAATATACAAGCCTTAACGAGCTATAAATGAGAGCTCTACTTCTAGATGTTCATTAACTTAACAAATGAGCTTTATCGAGCGTCATAACAAACAATTACATCGAATATGTTCATGAACTTATTTAGCGAATTTTTTTAGTTAGCAAATGTTATAATATTTAATTATTTTAAATTTTATTATTTAACAATAATTATATCATTATGTTATCATAAATATAACATATTTATATTATGTATATTTATCAAAGCTTATTCAAGAGTTCTAAATTGAACTCGAACACCAATCGAGCTTTTATCAAGCTTAATGTCAAGCTTGTTCACAAGATTTAAATGATGTTGTTCATGAACAAAAATGAGCTGAACACATTAGTGTTCATGCTTGTTCATTTAAGGATCAAATATTTAAAATATTGTTCAAATTTATTTGTTTAGTAAATTAAACGATCACAAACAAGTTTTAATTGGACCAAGCAATAAGTGGCTCGTTTGGGCTTGCAACCCTATATACAAGACTCGGACTTAAGACATTTTGGTTGATAGTCAAAGTTCTCAATCAATAGATCAAAATGAGCTTTATAGATAGTCATATAAAAGACTCTTATATAACCTTAAAAACATAAAAAAAAAAAAAAAACGCTTATATAAAATGCTTCACATATGCAAATAATATAAATGCACAGTGCAAGCTCAAGAAAGATTAGAAAAAAACTTAGATTAAATTTTTATTTAATTCACATCAATCTACTTCCAAATCTCAAGAAGAAAATACATCTTCTAATTTTGAGGAAAGTCTTTCTGTTGAAAATCTAAATGTAAAAATTCATGAATATTTATGAAAAGAATATTCCTTCATCTTAAGTCAACTTATTCTTCCTAGATCAAATATTCTCTCGAGATTTCCTTTATTATTCCAAAAACTTATGTAAGGTGAAGATCCACTAAGGAGACAGAGGGCATCGCACTAGTGCAAGCTCATTAATTCCTTATTGCCTCCATACAAAGAGTAGTAATTACTTATTGCCTCCATGCAAAGAGCAAAGCTTCAAACATGGATTCATTATTCTGTGCGGAGTGTGGAGGGCGTCTGGAAACTAATAAAAATGCGTCATGTCACCCCGTTGCTGGGTACCCAGTTCGGTACCCGCTGGGTACCCAGTGCTTAATGGGACAGTTCTCCCGTCTGGTGTTCGTACATACTAAAAGCTCTCAAACATGTAGAAAAAACTTTTTATTTTTCTAATGGCAGTGCTGGTTACATTTTCTTTGGATCAAATATGGCTCACATTTCAGTCAACCTTATAGTGAAGGGTTCATTGCTAATGGAGGATCTTCTTTAGGAGCAGATTGGGATTAGTGGTAAATAGTTTAAGGATTTGTCTTTGAAATTTCATGGGATATGTTCTCCATAAATTTTTTTGATAATTTTAAGAGAAAATTAGTATTTTTTATTTTTTGATTTTGAATTTGTTCATGATTATTTTTAATTATAATTTTGATATTCAGTAAATTATCTTCTGGATTAAATTGGGGACACCACTTGAGAAGGAATTATTTTTTGAGGCAAAGTCAACTAAGATAATCTTGCATCGACCCCGTTGATGTCATGCATCATCGTTACTGTTAATGACATGTATTGATCTAATTGGCGACAGAATGTGGAGTCGTTAGTGTTGAGTGTGTATATTGATTGATCTTATTGATGATTGTATGTGTCAATTTTGGTGCCAATGACATGCATTAACATTATTGGTAATGAAGTACGTCGATGATGGGTGTCGACTTATTAGGTAAATGAGTGTTAAAATTTCATAACAATTTTTGAGTGACTAAACTATCTCTAAATCCCGCATGCTTATAATTAAAATGAGTGTTTCATTAAGGGCAATCAAATTAGCCCAATGTCACTTAATTTTGAGATCATTATAGAGATTTACATTCTAAAGGGAAGCAACTTAGGCCATTTGATGGAGTGTTGGCTAAAATAATTAAAATGTCACTATGAAAATTTATAAATAAACTCTTGTTCTAAACATCCAAATGACTTAAAATTGGAGAGAGCTTGGAGATCTGAAGAAAATTAGAACTATGTCGACAATCAAAGTTGACAACCATTGTCAACAACCACCATCACTTCATTTCCTTTGTACAATAATCATTGCTCGACTGTCACTCTTGAATGCTATAATCATTTACGAGCTAATGCCAATGATGGTTACAGTTTTACTACCATCTCCAAATTGTTATCACATTATATAAACTGATGATAAAGTCTACTATATCATGATGTTAATCAATATCAATGACCATCATCTCTCAACTGTCTTTGTCAATCATCGACCGACATTGTTGTGCGTCATTCGCCACTATTTGTCTAATACTTTTCATTAAACTAAGTGGGTGTCAAGTTAATAATCAATACTCCCCAATCTCATCTTCTCCAATTAGAGGGAATGATTGGGGGGGGATATAACTCCCTATCTCTATCTCCAATTATGAGGCGTAAGGGGGGGATGCTTCTTTAATTGTCATATCTATAATATATAGTGGATTATATTTCAACTAAATCAAGGTCCTTATGATTTTTTCTCTTATTGCTGGATTTTCAAGTAAGAACTCTAGTCGTGTTTTTATCAAGCCTATTTTTATTTGGTGGCTTCATTATCTCTCCTTATACAATGCCCTAAGACACAAATTCATATTATTATTACCATTATTTCATCAAATTTTCATTGCAAATTTCCACACAATGTAATAGATATTTAAGATAAGTTGTCTGCTAAAATTTCCCCAAAAGCTAACCAATTCCTTTATTGCTGTGACTTATATTGTTCAATTAATTCACATACAAGATGCTTTTATGATAAATCCATCAGAGGATTTTAATAGTTGAGTGAACAATATTTCTATATCTGCTTATGATAATAAGTATGGCTTTTGAAAGAGTATTTTTGGATGCATCAAAATTTTCAAGATTTGTATTGTTTTAGAGAGATAAAGAGTAGAGAATCAAAACTAAGGAAAATGAAGAAATGCTTCATCAGGGCATCAACTATAAAACAAAACTAACAAATATATAAATTATTATATTGCTTAACTAGTATCTAATATAATAGAACTATATACTATCTTCTTATTTAGCTATATTTAGTCATACTAGCGAATTATATGTATATATACTATGTAGTTATTATTAGCAGCGTACTATATCCTATTACACTTGTAATATATCTTGTAAATTAATATATACTTCGCGTTATATTATAACTATGTATTATATATATTTGTAGCTATATTATTATGCATACCACAAGTATGTTTTCATTAACCACAAAGAAATATTATGCATATATATACAAAAAAGCATAATAGTTGTTCATCATTTAAGCATTAATTAATTGCATCTGTTGAAATTCTACTAACTTCATAAAATAAAAAAATAAAAATCATTTTTAAGTAATATATGTTTTCGTATCGTAAAATAAGAAAATGGCTGCGCTAAAAAAGAATCATCTGATAATATTTTTTTTTATTTGAAAGATTAAGCATAATGTGGCTTCAAAAAATCTTCATTTATTGACATATGGAATACAACAGAGGGTTTTATAGGCCCTTATCCAGTATATATTAATATGCCCATTTAATACAATACCAACTAACAACAAACAACTTAACATCAAGCTTTTTTCCAGGCTCTATGTGTTTATATTATCCTTATCCCACTACGTCGCGGTCGGCTACAATTGGAAATCCTTTTTCTCCATTGTGCTCCTATATTAAAAGCACCAAATTCTCGTTAAATTCTTGATACTATATCTATGATAAAGAAATGTCATTCCTAATATCTCCATACCAAGTCTTTTTAGTCTACCCTTCTATCCTTTCTGCTTATTTAACACAAGTCAAATCTAATACCTATCTACTCTCCTAACCGGGTCGTCGGAAGGCCGGCTCTTTTATGCTGACCAACGCTCTAGGCGACTTCTCTCTAAATCTTATCTTTTCTACTGCGACTTACTCCAACCTTTCACGTATGTTATTGCCATTTCGTATCCTATCTCTAAGGGTAAGCCACTCATCATCTAAGCATCCTCATCTACTCCACACTTAACTTAGATTATGCGGTCTCTTTTAGATGGCCAACATTCTGGCACCTTAAAGGCATTGCCAGGCCCACTACCATCTTATAGAAGTTTCCTTACCTTAAGTTTGAGGGTACATTTTCTGTATCACACCTAACAAGCCCGATGCTATTCCGCCAACTTCAACATCCAACTTGCAATTTCTGCTGATAATTATCTCCCATTTATTTCACCATCACTTTTGAAACAATAGATCAAGATAC